GTGGCCCTCGGTCATTTCACGAGGATTCAATTCAGTGGTGGGGTGTGAATGATCAATTATCGATATTTCCCCATCTGAAACTACGGTGAGGAATCGATTATTAAGGTGTTCGTTGCGAACACCATGTATAGCGATCTATTTCTATAAGTTTAAATGGCACAGCAATCGATACATCGCAAAGCATGCCACGCCACCGATTCAATTGAGCTTGATCTGCAGTGTTTATCAGGCACCTGCAGAGACCGTGGTGAAAGTTTTCTGTAACCCTGCCGACTAACCGAGCACGGTCGTGCAGTTCAGAAGTTCTAGACAATAGAAATAACTAAAATTTGCGTAGTTTGTTACCTTTGAAAACAATACGTACGTAAAAGCAGGTGAAAATGCAGGAAACAACTCAAAAGTTTGTTCGCAGTCATTGTTGTAGCTTCTACGTTCGGAAATCTGGTTCGAGTGATTTTTAACTTCCGAAAATGAAATAATCGTTTTGAGTTTCTCCAGATGGGAGAGGGGATTCTGATTACATTGCTACCACCCCTGTCATTACTGAATACAGCAATTACAACAGAAACGATCATAATGCCAAAAATACTCGAACAGTAATATCAATAGCAACTTGCAATATTGATGAGATTTTTTCGTGAGGGGATGAATCGTGACAGCAGTTTACGGGTGCCACACACGGGAGGGATGAGGCGCCCAAAAGTGAGGCTCTGCTGCGCGCGCACGTCGCATGTTTGGATTGTAATTTCGCGGCAGATTCGAACCCAAGGGGCGAGTTCCATAATACATTCTTCTCAAATGCACAGTATTAAAGTAAAAAAAGTCCAGAGTTTTAATCACGATTACTTTAATTAAATTTAACCTCTCGTAAATCCATACGTAAAAAGNCCCGCAGTTTACTAGGTTGCAAACCGGTGTACATTCTTTAAATTTCACTGTGTACATCTGATATGATTCGTTAAGAGGCACGTTAAAAAATGCACGAGGACTGAATAGTTCGTTCACCGGTTCACTTCAAATTCGCCTTTGCAAGAGGTCCATGGTTGGATTTCTATTATTTGGGTAAAACTGCGAATCGTTTATGTCATCCACGTGTATGGTTCATTCAGTTAATCGTTAATGCCTAATTTTTTTCTCATGTTATGACTTTTTAACTGAGAACTAAATTACTTGTCGTTTTCAAACTTTCTTTGTATGATAATGACCTAATTGGTGATCGAATTGCTAAAATGATAAAACATTCAAAATCATGAAAAAGTAACTTGTTTTTGCAATTACGCCAACGCTTGGAGTTGAATCTCATGCGGTTAGCGCGTAATTCAAAGTTCCTTCATTTTAGTGGATAGGCAATTTGAGCTCCATAACGTTCAAATAGTCGCATCACATATTATGCGTTCAAAATTGAAGGGGCCAGAGTATATCGTTTCGTACAATAACAGAGCGATGGCTACTCCTTAAAAACACGAAACTTAATTACCTTCGTTAATATACAATTCATATTTTTTTCTCATTTCTCATTTTTTTCTTCTTTAAAAATAAAAAATGATATGGCTTGAGATTTTCACAGAATAATCGTAATCGGGTGTTGCAAAATTAAAGAAATAATAACGCATTTTCTCAATGAATTTTCCCTGGACTATGAAAAAGATTCAAATTTTAAAAATAATCCCTTACCCGAAATAACTTTATCAACTAGCGGACGCGTTTCGTTCAAGCCCGTGGAACATTATCAGCGCGACTGGTTTTGTTCCCTTTACGATCTGCTGACCAGCGGCTCGAAGTAACGAATCGATATATAATGACCATGATCGATATAAAGTATTGCTAAGATATACGGAGTTATGGATCAGGATCATTCAATAATCGACCCCCGGCCCTCGTTCCTCCTCTCCACTCGATCCAAAATAGTAAACATAGGATTTTTCATTTCACCAGGGCCCAGGCTCAAGTTAAATGGTTGCTGATTACATGAAGACGTTTTTCTATGTATTTAAATCCCTCTTGGTGGACCTTTTTATTTCAAGTTTCAGTATTTTTAAGTTTTCTGTTGAGAATTCGACTAAATCTAATATATTTCGGCCGATTCCTGTTGAATGCATCTGAACTATGACCGAAAATTTTGAGCCAATATTCGTGAAAAGTATTGCGAAGTGTTCGGGATCGAAAGTTTTCAGCCCAATTCTATTTTTTGGCTTGACTGTGGACTAAAAATATTTTTAGCTTCTACCCGAAACTTTGCGTTACGGTAGCCTATTTTAATTTGGACCCACCCCTCCGGGGGTCGAGAGTTCCGGGTTGATGCTGAAGTTGAATTGCAGAGCTCCGGCACGTCTGTGCTCGAGCTCCTGGTTCGACGACAATTTATGAAATTTGTCGCTGGAGCTTCCAAGCTCCGCGCCCATCGTCGCCAGATTGTGCTGAAAATCCAGTACCTTTTCGCATACAACTCGATTTAATACGCTTACATATTTCAATTCACGCAATCTGGCAACCCTGTCCGCGACTGAACTCGCAGAAACTCGGTGCAGCACGTGTACGTCACGCGCGCCAACAGGACGCTGAATTTCTGAGCCGTGCATAATCATCCCGCTTTGTCTCACGCTCACACCCAGGCTTGCCAAATTTACGAGGAGTCTGAATTCCCTCCCACTGACGATGGTGTCCAAAGGGAATTTCAGGTCACAACATGGCAATCCAGCCTCTTTTCGTTCTCCAGGGTTGTCGTTTGCCGCAAAGACAATATATTTCAGAAATCCCTACAATCTAAACAATGTAATGGGTTAGCTGTTAGCAGGGTCACAAGTTCTTGAAAAGTCAGTGGAAACCTAGAAAAGTCAGGGAGTTTTTTCCAACCCAAACCCACACACACCTCAGTCTTAAATTAGAGGTTCTGCCAGTAGGTTCTTAATTTCAGATTTGTTTACTTTCAAGAGACTTCGCGTTGATATTTCCTAAGAAAAGCATACTCATTATAAAGTATTTGAGGACTTATCTGTAACAATAGCGGATGTGAAAAATTACCTTTGCGAAACACATTCAAAAAACTGTTTTGGCATCGAGAAAATGTTGAGAAAATACTTGAGATGTGATATTCGAGATCTGTACATTATGCCAGAGCCAAACATATTAAATTTTTGTGTGAACAAAACAGTTTTTTAAGCGTGTTTCGAAAAGGTAATTTTTCACATCCACTATTGTCACAGATAAGTCCTCATTTATTGAAAAAGACAAATCTTGAAAAGTCATGGAAAAGTCAAATAATTTCATGTTTAAGATCCCTGATGAGTCATGAACAAGTCAGGGCATTTTGAAATCCAAGAAATCTTATCACCCGCAGTTAAATTCGGAGGTCAACGCTTCTTTGCGCTCAATAATGACTGGTGAACAACGTGTTGAGCATGCAATCGAATAGAATTCGGCTAATGATGAGAGATGAATGTCGGGATAGGCACTTCGCCGGGCAATTTTTTGCAAATTAGGTCAGGATTACTAGACGAATCTCTCAACTCTTCTTCCATGAGTCATCAATAGTATAGACCTTAGTCATTAAGGCTATGATCATTGATCATAAACATGGTGGTTTAAACTTTACAGCTCCCAAATCGGAGTTTCGCAAAAAAAAAAAAAAAAAAAATCGTTTACGTGCATTATTAATTAAGCTCCTTTCTGAATCGTGCTAAGAAGCTGTCAAGAGATTTCAAACAACAGCTCAGCGACAAGCCTAGTCATCTTCTGTCCTCATTTTGCCGCCCTGCTTTGGTTTAAATCAACGGGCGGTTAAGATCCTCCAGTATTCCCCCCTACAACTGAAGCTGAGCAGGGCTTTAGATTAAAGTGCATTGTATGTGTATGGAGTCGAAATTCTCATTCAGAGTTTTTCTCAATAGAGAGGTAGATACTGCACTATATTTTAAGTATTTTAACTCAACGATTTGGAGGCGATTAAACGATAGCCACGAAATAGTGAAAATACCGACTATATTATTTCGATATGAGGTTTAGTAGTGAGAATTATATGTTGGGAGTAAAGTAAAAATACTTTCTGTCAACATTTATTTCATTTAAAGAGGACTGACATGATTTATTTTTCATTGATTATATTATTGTGATGTACCTACTTTAAAATTGTAATGGAAATAATTTGATCAATCATGATGGTTTGCGAGATGCAAAAGTTTCTATGATTAACTGATCACTGCATACTCAAAAACAGGAACTTCGGCTGTTTAATAATTTAACTAGTATTCTGTAAATATGTGGGAGAAAATTACGTGCTCAGTGACTAAATCGCCATAATAATAAACAATCACAATCATATATAGAAACACAACATGTTTTCACTGCCATACTGACGCTTTGGAATAACTAAATGCCGTGAGGTCAGCGCGGAACTCAAAGTTCCTTCGTTTTAGCGGATAGGCAATTTGAGCACCGGAACGTTAAAATAGTTGTATCACGTATTGCACGTGAAAAATTGAAGGGGCTGGCCGGTTGATGTATAATTTAACGCGGCAGCAAGAGAGACAAACTAATGGGATCGGTTCGGTCGTGACCAGTGACGCACAGATGCACTAATCGATGTATCGAATTCCGAGACATTTTAGTTGCTTATTCTAAAAGATGATTCCATGTACATTAATAAGCCACTTCTCATATCGTATACGTTTTACAAAAATGTTCAATAAACGGCTCAACTCTGAAAACACGTACCTCAAAATTCGACGCCGAAAATAGGCGCTCGTATTGGATTTTTCAAGAAAAAAACAAATTGTCATTATTTCTCTAAATGTTCGTTAGTTAGTCTTTACTCTGTCAATATTATTTTATTTAAATTTTAAGCCGCAATATTTGTTAGTTTTTCTTTGAAAAAATAAATTAAAAAAAAATATGAATAGAGATATAGGAATGCTGTAACTGAGTTACGTGTTTTCATCATTTAGCCATCAACATGCTCCACGTTTACTCGTAATAAAATGTTTCTGTTTTTTTTATTGTTGCAGAAAATTGAGAAGCCATTCCTAGAGGCAGTGAAAATGACGCTAGGCGACAGGTACACGGAAAACGTGGAGAACATTTATCAAATAACAATTAAGCTCATCATCGAAACCCTGGTCAAAGGGTACGGCACGTGAGGTGAAAGCAGGTTAGTTGCATTTTTATCCGTGACAAATAAAAGGGTATACTTTTTTGGGAGCAGTTACATTATATCCGCTCGGTCCATGGAAAAGGGGCCCGATCTCTAGTCTGACAGACCCGGATTGGGCCCCTAACTTATATGTCAGACGAAGACCCACACGATATTGGGGAAGGGTGAACAAAAGAAGAAGGAGAGAGGATCAAATGAGCAGTGAAATACAACACTACATCACAAGGAGAAGGAGGAGAAGAAATATATAATGAAGAATAAGAAGGAGAAGGAGAGGAAGGAAAATAAAAAGCTGAAAAAAGAGAAATAGGAAGGGAAGAAGGAGAAGCGGAGGAAGAAAGATAGGAAGTAGTAGAAGAAGAAGGAAAAGAGGAAAAAGAAAAGTGAGAAGAAAAAGTGGGAGATGAAAGAAAGGAAGAAGAGGAAAAACGGAATAAAGAAAGCAGGAAGAAAAAGAAAAGGGGAGGAAGAGAAGTGGAGGAAGAAAGAGAGGAGGTAAAGTAGAAGAAGAAGAAGAAGAAGAAGAAGAGGAGGAGGAGGAAGGAGAGTGAGGAGGAAAAGTAGGAGATAAAAGAAAGGAAGAAGAGGAAAATAAGAATGAGGGAAACAGGAAAGAAAAGGAAGAGAAGGAGAAGAGGATGAAGAGAAAGAAAAGAAAAAAAGAAGGAAAAAAAGGAAGAAAGAAAAAGAAAGGAAGGAGCGAGCAGAAGAGGAAGAAACAAATCAGAAGGGGGAAAAATGACAAGGTTTTTCCTGCCTCTTTTTCGCCTCTTCATCTTCGCTCTATATATTCCGCCCTCTTCTCTTTCCTCTTCTATTCTATCCTTCTCATCGGAGGACGAAGACTTGAGTATAAACGCATCAGCGTCGATATTAAACGCGAAAACTTGGTGTGCATACAGACAGATCTTGTTTATCTTGGCCAACAAGTAATACCCAGCCACCAAAACTCGATTCAATGGTGTGGTTGAATAACTTATTGCAAACAGATTAACACTCTTGATACGTTATCAGTTTCTCCATGCATTTTTCCTGAAAAATGTCGTTGTTTTCAACATCTTTAAGGGAGCTGTACGCTCCACACTTTTCATGGCCTGCGGAAAATGGAATTAGGCTCTTGCACTGGAGAAGCGACGCTGATTGCGAAATATTTTTTTATTCGTTCAAATTACTCACCAGGGAGCGTGTGGACACTATTGGATCCACATCTGATTGGCTCAGTCATTTAAGGCTACATGAGGCTTTTTAAAGCTCAAAAATGGCAAAGTTTCAAAGGAGAAATGGATTAAAATCACGGCAACTCTCGTTCGCACACTGGAAAAAAAGTCTCTTTGATCCAGCGTTCAGACTCTCAAAAAATTTGACAAGAAAACATACTCTTGATTCAATCGGTGTTTTCAGTGGCGTAACGGACTTCTGCTGGGCCCCCCCGCAAAATTTTTTCTAGCCCCCTCCCCCCCATGTCGATAAAATTTCAAAATTATCCTCCCCTCCTGCCCCTCTCCCTCCCTCGCTCCTTCCCGTTTTTCCTCTTATGGTCGGGGCCTGCAGCACAAAAATTTCTGCAAAAATCAGCCTTAACCACCAAAAATATCAAAATAGCAGCAGCTTATATCTTTTTACCTGTAGGTATGGTATGTGCAGGATTTAGCCTATTTTTACGTTATGTCCTTAGGTTGAATTTGACTCATCCCTCACCGTCCCGGATCCCGTACCCGATTAAATGGGGCCACTAAAGGATCAACGATCTAAAGTGGGGCGGGGGCCCAGCCCAAGCTCAAGGATCTTCAGGGGGGAGGCCCAAGAATCAAAGGGCCCCCAAGAGCCTTGGGGCCATTAGATTCTTGGGCCTCCCCCCTCCCAAAGCCCGAAATACGAGAAGGGACAAAAAGAGAGAAAATTATCTAGTAATCACTGAGTGGACATTGGAAAGCAGGGACCCTCCAGCAAACAAAAAGTTAGGAACAGTCCGAAAAAAGTATGAAAAACCCCGAGCTAACAATAAAAATCAGAGGAAGAAGCCCAATCTCTGTATGTAGTGGCCAAAAGTTTGAAACCAAAGTTGAGCATCAAAAAGAGAGAGAGAAAAAAAAACCCGGCGGCCGAGGGAGGGCCCCCTAGGCGCCTGGGCCCCCCTGCATAGCAGGGTCTGCGGGGGCGCCCGTTACGCCACTGGGTGTTTTGATCGAATTAAGAGCCGCGCCTCTTAATTGAAGCGTATTTCCTTTTGATGCAAGCAAAAATCCGATGGAGTCAAGATAATTTTTCCTTGTTTTACTTTTTTTACGAGTCTGGACTCTAAATCGAACAGAAGTTTTTCCCTGTGTATTTCTATGGGACCGTGAATTGTACTCGAATATCCCAATAGAATGTGTTAAAATCATTTAATTCCGACTTCGAAGCATTATTCGCGCTCAGTTAAATTCCTTTCATTTATATTTTTTACAAGAGAGGTGTGGGGGGGGGAGGCAAAGTCAGCAGCAAATGTGGTCGGTGATAACTTAAGAAAGTTGACGACGACCGCCTGCTTTTCCAAAGTTTGGCTCAAAGTTGTTTAGGCCGTAAGAAGTCTTGATAGGACCAGAGTGCGTATTTTCGATATGTGATGTGCATTGTGCTATGTGGCACAAAACCAAATGTTCAGAAATTTGTCCTAGAATCTGTCTACATAGTTCGCCATTTTTGGGCCCCACATACTCCCATCGAGCCAAAGATGACTGAGCCGATCATAAATGAATCCAGCGGTGTTCAAACGATCCCCATGAAAGATACCGCAATCACACGCTAAATTTGGCAGCTGAATGTGGCAGTCAACAGTCAGCGCTCAACAGCTGAAATTTCACTAATTCGAGTTATTTTCATCCGAATGTGTATCAAATCTATTCGAATAGTTCAGACAAATCCGACATTATCCGATGGTCGCTGAGAGTCGTTGCTGAATTTTGCGCGTCACGCGTAAAATTCAGGCAACGGGCTGATGACTTCATATTCAAGCCACATTCAAGCCACATTCAGATCCCACATTCAGCGTGTGATTGCGGCATGTAGTCATAGAGTACATAGAGTCGTAATGTAAATGGGAGAGCTGGTGCCATGTTCTGCTCGACGAGTTCCGAGCCCGGTGTGCGCCGAGTTCGGGTCACTTTTTCGATATATGTTCGATCCAAAATGGCGGTGTGGAATACGTGGTGATTCCTATCTTCTTTGTTTACATTGGATGACCGGGTACCCGTGTATCGCGAACAATCGATTTTGTATCGAAAAAGTGACCAAGCGTCACACAGGAGTCTCGGAATTCGGTACCTGGAAAATGCTTAAAAGTGGCGCCAACTCACCCACTTACATTACGACTCTATGTACTCTATGCATGTAGTATACGTCAAATGACATTTCCACCCCCCCTCCCCTTCGGGAATTCCGGACCGAGTGTCCACTCTCCTTCTAGCTGTCCCCTTATTCCGCCGAGTTAATTCAAGAAAATGACTGTGTTTTGCAGTGGTCCAACGGAGCACTAAACTGATCGGACGCACAGTGGCTGGTTCCTGAGGGCCCGGTCGTGCAGTGTCCCGTCGGTGCATCACGCTTCCACCAGGCATCACGCTTCCAGGCCCCGCACGCTCATCGACCAACGCAGCGTCGCATCATTCAGCGTTGGGCACCGTCCGTCGCCCCGAACTCACCGATGACGTCAGCTCCAGGACTTCGCTCCTGGCGTCAATTGGCCAATTGTAAAGTTTTCTCGTTAGATAGATTTATAGTTTCTGTGGATAAGATTTCCAGGGTTCGCGAAGTAATCCGAATCGAATCGGAGGCGGATCCGGCAATTTGGCAACGCCGGAATCCCTCCATTAAATCCTATGTTAAATTATCGATTCCTGTCAGAGCACCTGGCCCCCCCAAGAATTGATACATTTCCATAGGTTTAAATGGAGAAAAACAATGTTGCCAATTTGCTGGATCCGCCATTGAATCGAATCGCCGTTGGCTCGATGTCAATTTATTAATGATCATAAGTCAAATTTACACGGTATGAGCATTTCTAGAGTACCTACTATCTATGGAGGTACCCACTACCTACATCATCGCAATGTCTGTGCCGTTTTCTGATTGGTTCAGTTGCAGACCTTTTATGGGGCCCAATAGTTCTCACTCTTAAAAGACAAAAGGTTAGTTTTTTATAATTAAAACATAATTTTCTTTGATTTGAAGACAAATTGTTGAGATTAAAAAAAGATCGGAGAAATAAATGATACTAACAGGAAAAGCGTAATTATCCAGCAGAAATTATCATATTTATTTGATAAAAACTCATCTCAAAAGTTGGAGATAAAAAATTTTCTGTACATTGAACTCCGTCTGAACCGATCATCATAGGGCAAGAAGTTTAGCGATGGTTTTTTGTTACTTTACCAATAAATTATTAAAAAGATTTTATGCGAAGCTGCATGCATGCGTTAGTTTGTTCTGTGAAGAGTAGAAAATAGGGACGATTTTTAAAATACCAAATCGTATACAGACATGCGTTTCTCTTTTTTCATTACTGGTGTTAAAAAAATTTGCGGGTCACTTATTTAAACTTTATCGAATGATCTTGATCGATAAATAGTATTGCTGTGATAGAAACATATCGACCGAGCTCATTTAATACTGATTCAACAATCCAAGTGCTGTGCCACCCAGTGGCGCGGCGTGCTGTACGATATATCGATTAATCTGCCATTTAAACCTATGGAAGAAGATCGATAAATAGGTATACTAATCGATTCTTCACCATACTTTCAAATTGGGAAACATCGATAATTGACCTTTGGACCTTTGGACTAACATTTGCATGACTCCCTTCACAGGATAACGGGACAAAATTCTCCGATATGATACATGCATGTAGCAGGAATAATTTCCACGTACTGACCACACACTTTTTCGTTGCAGATAAGTCGTAAAATATCTAGGTATGAATGTATTTTTATAGTAAATGTTGCACTTTCCAAGGTAAAGTCTTACAGACTAATGTTTTTAATGCAGATTTTTCAAGGGACACTCCAAGTCCAACATTTCCTCCGTCATCCGCACAAAAACCTATCCTTTTCTACCAATTTATTACCTTACAGAGCCGTTGGTAGAGGAATTAAGGACAACACCCTCCCAAGTAGATATTTTTAGTAAAATACAAACGCATACCTCTTAATGACAAAACAAAAAACTTTGTCAATTTGGAACCAGCCTCCTGCAAAAAAATTGCCCCCTCCCCTCCCGGCAGTATTCAATTTTATTGAAACCAGTAAATTTTCCGAGCTTTTTTTGTCATCTTTTTAAAATGTTCATGCAAACAGTCTCAAATCTGAAAATTTTCCCTTAGTTTTTAGTCTGACGTTTCAATCGGAAGGAAAAATTTAGTAGGCCTCATCTGTGTATAATCTCGAACTGGTGTTAGCAGGAATTTGTTAGATGAGTACACAACGCCAAGGTGCTGTGAAAGACACTTATTAGATTAGAGCCGAAGCGTCCCAATCTTTACGATCATTATCAAGGCTAAAAGTATACTACATCATTCAAGTGCAACATACGAGCACAGGGCTTAAAGGAAAGGAAGAAACAACTTCTCTTTTTTTAGGCTTCAGCTGTATTTTTTTCTAAATTTGATTTTTCAGGCATGTAAAGGTGTTTCTTAGCTCCATTCTTGCCAAGTTTGAAGGAAATCACTTCGGCAGTTTTTTCGTTAAGTGTTGATGAAACCTCGGTACCGTAGCTTTATATATTAAAAATACCAAAACAAGTGAAACCTCTCCCCATGTTTGTGAGGGTTGAGGTTGATGAGACCTCTCCGCCGATCACCATGAGAAATTTGCAGCTCACAGTACAAGATTTAATTTCACGACTCTTCCAGCACTTTTGTCCTCTTTGAACTTTTGTGGACGTCGATTAAGTTCTTAGTTGATTAATTGTTGCGATGTTAATGGCTCCGAAAGCATCACCTGTTGCATCTTCGCTTCATTAAATTTCGATTCGTCTCGTTAAGACCTCTAGCAGGGCGTCATCGCAGAAAATAAGAATAAAAACGTACTTTTTACCCATAATTTTTGTCAGTGCAGCGAAGAATTCCAAAATTTCCCCGACTCGTATTTTCGTGATTCTCCTCGCGAAGAGATACATATATACAATTCCGTATTTATGCTTGTCACGTGTAGAAATTTCCGATTTTAAAAGGTTGTTTACAAAATTTGCGAGTGTTATATTTGTCAAGGTCTCTCGTTCAATGATCCCTCAGAAAAAGATAGTTTTACTCCAAGGTTCAAAACTATTTTTCGCACCAGAATCTCATATTTGCGTGTCGTATTTGAGTTCCAAAATTTCGATTTATGACTTTGAATCGCAAATTCTCGAATTCCTGATGGATTAATCAAGAGCCGTATTAGTCTCAGTGAGAAACAACGCATCTAATATTGATTTTCCTATGTTGATGGATCTTTTTTCTTTTTTTTAAAAAAAAAAATACGTCTATGCACTCGGTTTGTTTCTGATAAAACCAGCCCGGAGGATCATCCGACAGGAATTTCGCGGGACCTTACATTGACCACGTTTTACAGAAAGGAACCAAACCACATCAGCTATTGCCAAATGTAACCGGGCAGTTAATTTTTTTTAAAAGAACGTTTGTTCGGATTCCTTTGAAAATGTTAAGGAATTTTCTTCGTGCCATGCAGACAATTCATTGAAATTTTCACATAATTATGCACATCCGTTTCCATGTAAAAAATTAAATTTCCTAGTTAAATTTAGCAATAGCTAATGCGGCTCGGTTCCTTTCTGCTTAACGCGGTCCAAACAACGAACGAAGTAACGAGATGCGACTGTCTTCTTCACACTCGTGCACGTGAAACTATTTTATTAAATTATAAATTAGCGAGGAGAGACGCTCCTCTGAACCGTTCCAGTTGTTACGTCTCGACACTTTTTTGTTCCCTTCGCGCCGGCTCGGTAGCCGAAAACTCGACACGGGAACTCATTATAACTTCCATCGCGTCAGAGGTGTTCGTTTGAGATTCTTTGACTTTTCCGTGCGAGAAACTATTTGCTTAAAGTTTCCTAATCTCCCCGAAGTTCCAGCGCCACCTTGCGGAAATGCGAGTACGTGTGACGTCATGTAACTTCAAATTAATGCCGCCGACAAGGACAGGGGGCGCTGCATTCTGATGCATCTTTGACGACGGGGTTGTCGGGTGTCAACATCCGCCCGCAGTCTAGCTCTGCCATGCTAAGGAAAAACCTCGTATGTAAGCACATCCGATTGTTACAAAATCATCTTCGATAAATCGATCACTGGAAAAAAAACACATTAGATCTAGAGTCCAGACTCTTAAAAACATCGACAAGATAATATACTCTTGATTCAATCAAAAAGCTTAAATCAAAAGGAAATCCGCTTAAATTAAGAGACTTGGTTCTTGATTTAAGCTAGATTCTGATTGAATCAAGAGTACTTTTTCTTGTCGATGTTTTTTAAGAGTCTGGACTCTAGATCCAATGTGTTTTTTTCCAGTGATCATTATCGTTTGCGAGTAGCAAAGTTTACTCTAATAATTAAGTAATCACTGCATACTTTTTAAAACAAGGAGAGTTAGCAGTTTAATAATTGAACTAGGATTCTGTAAATGTGTGTAAGAGAATGACGTGTTGTTGACTCAATCCTCCTAAATAATGACACAGTTACAATCATATAAAAACAACATGTTTCCACAGTTACATTAACGCTTTCGAACAAGTGAGTGTCCTGAGGTCAGCGCGGAACGCAAATTTCCTTCAATTTAGTGGGTAGGCAATTTGAGCTCCGGAACGTTAGAATAGTTGTATCACGCATTGCACGTGAAAAATTGAAGGGGCTCACCGGATGGAGGATTGGTGTAGCAGCGAGAGAGGTAAACTAATGAGGTTGATTCGGTCGAGATGAGTGACGCACGGCTTTACTGATCGATGTATCGAATTCATGGATATATTGGTTGCTCACTCTGGAAGATTTATTCATGTGTGTATATTGTATGAGCTACATTTATATTTCGTACTTTTTACACTCATTTAAAAAAAAAAAACAACTGAAAAAACATTTCAAAATCCTACGCTGGAAAATGGTTCATTTTAGCAAAATTTCCTTAAAATCTTCAGATATACTTGATCGAAGTGCAAATTTCATTCTCTGTAAAATTCATGACAATAAGAATCACAAATTTTCCGGAAATTTCGTGTTACAGCAGAGGCACTTTGGCAACTCCCGGGACATTTTTCTTTATTGCAGCAGCGTTTCACTGTGGCAAGGAGAAATGGCGTATGTGCATTCGAGTGTTGCAAAATTTCTCTCGATAAAACATTTGGTTTTGCGAGAATAATAAATTATTTTCCTTGTGATTCTCAAGGACGCCAGATTGCATCATTTATAAAATTCTCCGAAAAATCCAGCGAAAGTCGACATGTTTTTCAGAAAATTCATATTTTATCGGAAATATGTGGCAACGTATGGATGACCATACATTTTTTTACCTGAGCAGAGCAGAGTTACGACGCAACATAGTTCGTGAAGTTTCAGTAAAAGCCACTTAAAGTGGCATTTTCTGAACCGAGAAACATTTCACCGAGCGTGTCAGAAATCTCGCTGTTTGCCGCAGTAAAGATGGTCTGAAACACTGTTGTTTTAAAAGCTTCTGAAAGTGCAGGATTTAAGTGGAAATTGACACCTTAAGGGCTGTTTTCTCTTTCCCTTATGATTTTACTTTTAAGATCTCTAAATGAGTGAACAACGGTAAACTTTTCTAAGGTTGGCACACAACTTTTTTGATGTTGTGCGCAATACCTCTTCCCACATTTTACTTCCTCGCAAAATGTTTCAGTACGCTTTTTCATGTTTTCACCAGAACAAGCTAGTTTGCGAGTTTTTTCTACATTCAACAGGTTGCCGTGATAATGTCAAACCCGTTCCGCTCATGTTCATTTCACTATTGTTCATGCAGAAGTTTAGTTCAAAAATTGAAGTTGAAGGAAAAAGCTATTTAAAACTCTAAGCTGTCATGTTCAGGGTACGAAACTCAACGGATTGTAATTCAATTTAATGTCCTCTATCGGCATAAAAGTGAGCCAACTTGCTCGCAGTGGCGTGGCGTGAATAGCGATAAATCGATTGTTATGCCATTTAAAATGGAAAAGGATCGATAAACAGGGTGTTCGCAGCGAACACCTTAATAATCGATTCTTTACCATAGGTTTAAATGGCAGAACAATCGATACATCGCAATTCACGCCACGCCACTGCTTGCTCGAAACTTAACCCTCGGACACCGCAGCAAATCTCCTGTCGAAACTCAAAATTCAATTTTTCAACTCGATTCCGCAAAAGCCACCCTTCTGAAAAAAAATGACATGTTTCCACAGTTACACTAACGCTTTCGAACAAGTGAATGTCCTGAGGTCAGCGCGGAACGCAAATTTCCTTCAATTGAGTGGGTAGGCAATTTGAGCTCCGGAACGTTAGAATAGTTGTATCACGCATTGCACGTGAAAAATTGAAGGGGCCCACCGGATGGAGTATTGATGCAGCAGCGAGAGAGGTAAACTAATGAGGTTGATTCGGTCGAGATGAGTGACGCACGGCTTTACTGATCGATGTATCGAATTCATGGATATATTAGTTGCTCACTCTGGAAGATTTATTCATGTATGTATTTTGTATGAATTACATTTATATTTTACCAGTGAGTGATATCCGAAATACGATCCGGCAGCGTCGCCAAGAATCCCGAGTCGAGGCGCTCATGATATTATTTTTAACGTCAATGGCATATTTGAGCTAAAGAACGGGGGCGCCATGATTTGTAATTACTGCCATTTATTCGAAGTCGGCGCGAGCGGGAGGGGGGGAGGGGCGAGCGCTTCCCGGAACGGGGTTGTTAACGCCAAGAATGCGTGTTTGTGTCAGAATGTAAATGATTGCGGGCCGGGATTAATTCAAGGATCGGAAAAGGCTCGGATCGTCCTGTGAGAGATGCTCGCGGAACTAATGGGTTAAGTGCGTCGTAGGAATCGTCCTAGTTCTCGCGTCTCGCGCTCGCAGGAAAGGAAAGCGCGAATTCAAATTAATGACTTCTTTGTCCGATGATGAGCGAGCGGAGCGGCGCGGCGCGGGGGTTTTGCGATGCACGTGAGCGCGCTGCGGATTTTATTTCTCGTCGCGGGACTGTTTATTCTCCTTGTGGATAGAAAGAGACAGAAAGATAAGGGCTCCATAGGGTGTTCGAGAAGACTTTTCCATCCTGAGCCCCAAGGAAACTCCGAGGAGCTTTCCCAGGAAAATTTTGAAAGTCGTCTCGAGAGTAATTTTGAGCTGTTCTAACCGAAAAGTCGAGTGAGTACGATTTAAAAATGAAAGATGAGTCTCGGCTTTACACAGCAAAATCCCCCACATTTTCAGAGGGAACCAAGTAGCTTTTCGGGTCAGGCTCCCTCCTCACCCCCTTTTTCTGGGCCGGTCCTTAAGACACCAGGAATTCGAGCCTAAATTTTCTAATTCCTGAGATTTTATACATTTTTCGCCTTGCTATCATCCCAAAATTCTGAACACGATTCAATTTAAACAATTTGAAAATTTGAAAGGGGGGGGGGAGATTCAAAAATTTCAAAAGAAAATAAATACTCGTTTATTTCTCAAAGATAAATATTTAGTCGGAGGAAATTCGACAACGTCCTAATGTTGCGTTCTGCGTTTTTCCTTAGCACGGCAACGGGAAAGGCTGGGTGTGGTGAGGGATCCGAGTATGTACAGTGTACACTAATAGTCGCTTTTGATCGTCCTCGCGGGAGTGAAGGGAGTGAATGCCCGATTTTCGGGCGGCTGCATTTGACGCTTCGCGCCGGGCTCGCAGGTAATGGACAAAGCGAGAGAGCATCCCTTGCGCCC